AATGAATTAGGGGAAAAAACAAAGAAAAAATGGAAAACTTTGAATAAAATTGTTTTGAATTTATTCTTAAAATTAATTATAAAATTAATGACTTCGTCTTTTAAGTATATAATTAATAATGAAATTTCAAAGGTTATAATGTAATGGTTAAATAATTATGTTTAGAAAAAAAAATATTAATAATTAACAATTAAATGCATTATTGATAAGTTGAAATGACTTGATAAATAACAAATTGAAATGATAAAAATGTGAAAGTTTAAATATAAATATATTTTGTTAATTTATTTTAACTATAAGAAATAGATTAAAAATATGTATTATATTTTGGAAAATTTGTTTGGACGATTTGATTTCTTTATAAAATTTTGATGGTAATTTTGTCCTTCAAATGCATCTCTCTCACAATTAATTATTAGTAACTATTAAATTATATTATATTACCAAAGCGAGCATGTTGTGAGTTCGATCTCCTACCTCCTACATGTTATACTAAAAAAAATTATTAAATTGTATTAATTTAATTTAAATCATAAAATTTAGTATGGAAATTTTTGTTTCGACTTAAATTAATTAAATAATTATAACCTTTAATTATATTTAATTTTTAATATCTCTTCAAATTTCAAAGAGTTTTGCAACAATTTCATTTTCTACCCTTATAAAATGATTTTTTTTTCACTCTTTTTTACGAGCCATATGAAATCAATGAATTTTTTTATAAAAATAATTTATATTATACTCTGTAACGATCTTATTTAAGCTAAACAAAATTTATACTTTAAAATATAACTACAAAATAACACAGGTTGCCAACTAGTTAATATAAAAAGCAACAACGTAAATTAACAAATCGTCGAGACATTACTTAACTTTTAAATGGCCAAAAGTTCAAATCTACTCACCATAAGTTGTATTAAAAAAAAAACAAATATAATATATGTATTTGTCAAAAAGGGCAAGTATGAAAATATTTAGATACAAGGGATCGTTTCAATAATAAAATATTACAAAAAGGACATTTAAATAAATAAATAAATATATATATATATATATTAAGGCCGTGGATCGTGATTGGGCCATCCCTCGTCATCTTCCACTAGGCGGTTAGGCCTTTTTAGAAAGCAATTAAAAGGATTATTATTATTTTTCTTTAATTTTTATAACCAATTATCGTTTTGTATTTATTCTCAAAAAAAAAAATAATAATAATAATACCAAAAGGTTATAGTTTTGTATCTAACCGGTCCCTAAACTTTAAAAATGATCTAATAAGTTCTCAAATTTTATGTCTAAAGTTAGTTAGGTTTAAAAGTATCTAATAAATCTGACATTTCAATGTTTAATAGATGATTGACATATTCAACAAATTCTAAAATGAAATTGAATTTTGTGTATAACAATATCTTAAACAGTTAATTTTGTGTCAAGTATATTGGTGATTTTTTAAAAATGTTGAATATGTCAACGATCCCTGTTAAACACATTAGACATAAAATTGAAAGTTTAAATATCTATTAGATACTTTTTAAAGTTCAATGACTTTTTGCAAGATCGAACGTGTGAGCTTTAAAGACCTACAAGGGAAATTCCATAGGYGAGTGAATTGCTTAATTAGTTTATTATTATTATTTGTTTCCAGAAGTATTTTTATAAGGTGTTTCACTTTAAAACTATTTGTTTTTAAAACTCATTCCAAATTTATTATAAAATTTCAAAATTTGAACGATCTTTGGAAAGAAAATGAGTGAAGAGTTTTTTTTTTAAGAATCAATTAGGATTAACTAAACTTTTAAATAATACAAGTAATTACAAAAAAAATAATATCAAACCCACTTTTAGCATACACGTAATATTAAAATACTTTATAAGTAATTTAACTTGTATTACTAAATAATAAACAAGTTCATATATTTAATTTTATCCACATGAACCTAACTCAATTAATTTAAACATTAGTTTGAATCTTAGAGTTTAGACTAAATGGGACTGGTTAATCTTAAATTTCATTAATGCAATTAAATGATCTTGATGACAGATTAAAATCTTAGTTTTGTTTTAAAGGAAATTAAGTTATTGTATAAAAATTTGACGTCAAAAAAAAAATTTCCAATATATATTTTTTTCCAATTTTAGGGAATTGTGGGCCAAACCCACCGAACACCAAAAGAAGATTTCTAGCGTTGGATTAACGCATACAAAACCCCACCTCCAAAAATTGATGGTCATAAATCATAATTCAATTATTCTCTCAACTTTTTTTTTTCTACCTTTATTATTCCACGTAAATTAATGTCTAAATTTTACATATTGATCTTATTTTTATTATAAATTCCATCGCTAATAGGCAATTTTTGTGTGAAATCTATGTGAGAAATTTCCTTCCATGTCATCAAAGTAGTATGTATATTAAAAAATGTCACAAATTCTTACCTTTTTAAATATAATATAAATATGACTTTCTTCAGTATTAAGACATCTTTTTCAGTATAATTTAAATTAAACTTGGAGATTGATTTAGATTATGCTTTTTGAAAAAAGAAAATCAAACTTTATTTCGTATTTGAAAATACATGTTTGTTTTAAGATAACTTAAAATTTGTTTTAATTTTATGTACAAAAAGCATTATTGGTCATTATTTGGTTGCTGTTAGGTTATAATTATGCGTAATATATATTTTTTTTCATCTCTCATTTTGAGTTGTCAGAGGACGAAGATTCAACTTTCGACTTTAAAGAAAGATAGACGTCTTTTACATTGAGTTATATAACAAATAACTTTCATTTTTGCATCTTTGTCGATAGTCTTTGTCATAATTTTTTATTATTTTTTTAGTACAACAAGTATCAGGTGAGATATTAAACATTCGACCTCAAATAAGGTAGTGTTGATGTCTCATCTATTGAAATATGGTCAGATTGACAATAGTTGTTGTCATTATTTTTCTTGACAGCCAACTAGATTCATCAATGTTCGTAGCAAGTCATTTGAGAGATCTCTCGATGTCTAGTTGACATCCATATTGTCATTCTATTAGGTCAACCAACGCTGACCAACTCAAGTGACCAATTATGAACCAAATTCAAATCTCAAGAACCAATTATAAACTAAATTCAAACTTCAAAAACTAAACATGTTGCTTTTGAAACTTCAAGAACCAAATTGAAACCAAATTTAAATCTTAAGGGCAAAAAGAGTATTTTATCCTAATTATTATTATAAATAAAAATATTTAATTACGAAAAAATGTCAAATAAAATACGTGAACACAAAAGAAAAATTGTTCCACTATTTAATTATTTAAACCCTATTGCACATATACTCGTCAGTTTTTGTTCCAAGAGAAAAACCTCATACTACAATCCTAAACTTTTATATCTATTCACTAATATGAGTTTAGCTCAGCGATAATTGATATGACATGTATTACTCATTAGTATTTTAAATCGATGAAGAAATCACCACCAATCAAAAGAATCAATTAATTTACATGCCAACATGAGCTTGATGAATGAAAGAAAGTGTTTATGAGCCCTAGCCCTATAAGCCCATACCTGCGTAGAGTAGATCATATCGTTCAACACCTGTAGCACAAGTTCATTTTTGACCTATTGGTCCCAGTATCATGGTGACTGAATGACGTCTCTTAATTACTAGACCAACTTACTATAATAATTTCATAAACACATAGTGAAGGACAAAAAAAAAAGTAGTCCTATGTTTGGATATGATAATACCATACCATAATCAAAAGGTACAACAGTTCGAGCGACCAGACTTAATATATATGTAGCCACTGGAGCCCTTCTAAAAAGGAGAAATTTACGCGGCGATAATTGAAATTTATCTCTGCCTAAGAGGCTATCAATTCGAATTCTCCACCCCCACTTGTTCTACTAAAAAAATCAATTAATTCACACCATCATCAATAAAAATGGCAAAAAAAAAAAACAAAAGAATTTTGGGGAAAATGGGTATATATAAAAGGGAGTGTTTTTATTGAGGGGCAGAAAGATCCAAATAATTGGGGTGTGTGTGTGTTCATCAGAAACTCCTACCTCCAAGTTTCAATCAACACTTTATAATCTAGAGAGAGGAACCCGTCTCCTCTCCCATTTCTCTCTCTGTCTTCATTTCCTCTAAACCCTATCGCGCCTTCTGCAATCCACCCACAAATGGCGAACAGTAATCTTCCCCGAAGAATCATCAAGGTAAGATCGTTCATCCTCTTCGCGATCTCCTTTCTGTTTCTCCGATCGGGTCGTCTGCTGAAGAGATGATATCGTTTCGTGGGGTAGAAGGATCTCTTGTTACTAGAATTGGGTTATTGTTGCTGTCGGAATTGATTTGATTTTTTCTTCTCCCCCTTTTGTGATCAATCGCAGGAAACTCAGCGTCTCCTCAGTGAACCTGGTGAGTTTTTGGATTTGTTTGTTGGGTTCTTTTCGGGGCTGCGAGTTGTTTGGTTTTTGATCTTGTTACTGGAAATCGTTTGTTAGTTTGGTCTTGCTTCCTTCGTCTGATGTTAATTATGAAGATGAAGTTTGTGTTGATTTATTTGATCTTAATCTTTGACGTGTGATTTTAGCCCCCGGGATTAGTGCCTCGCCGTCAGAAGACAACATGCGATATTTTAACGTGATGATTCTTGGCCCGACCCAGTCTCCCTATGAAGGTAAATTATTTGACAGTATGTTGTTCCTTTGTTGGTATATATGAATGGTTATAGAACCAACTAACTTGTTTAGGTGAAAATCGGCTGAAGTTCTATTGATGATATTGATATGATCTCTCTATGAAGATGACATTCACAGCGAATTTCAACTTCAGGATTAGCTTTTTCTCGACGGAAATGATTTCTTTTCTTACCTTTAACATTGGTTTCGTGCAACTGAATTGATGAAAATGGGGAACTTATAATTGAAAATTCAGGAGATACCCCTCTCCCTCTCTATTTTTGTTTTATGTTACTTCTAATGTTTTTAAGATATGGTGTTTTAGAAGTTGGTCGCATTGGATAGCTACGATCTTTTGCGGTAAACATTGATTTGCATAATTTGAAGTTTAAGATAACAGAGGTCTCTGTAAATATGGATGGTTAAATGTCTCTTAGTGATAGCTGATGGCCCAACTAGCAAGGGACCAATAGGTGGGAAAAGTGTGCCTAGGATCCTATCCTACCACCTCTACCTAACTCTGCCCAGAAAGGAAAACTGAAAGAAAAGAAAAGAAAGAGAAGACCCTTGAAGCTGATTGCCTCCTACCAATGTTAACTAAAGACCTCAGTCATTTTTAGCTCGACATTTGACTTGTAACTAATCTATTTTTATTGTTATGCATATATTTGTACTGAACTCAAAGTACTGTGCAGGAGGAGTTTTCAAGTTGGAACTATTTTTGCCCGAAGAGTATCCTATGGCTGCTCCCAAGGTGATTTGTAATCCTTTCTTTCTGAGCTTTCTTCCTGCAGTTATTAGATAAATCCCACTTGCATTATTCCCACTGGGCACTGATTCTTTTCCGAAACAATTAGCAATACTTCTTCTGTTTTGTTTTTTATTAAAAGCAAAAAATTATTAACAAAGGTGTCCAATAAAAATCATTGGGCCATTAGGGGTGCTCCAGATATTGTTGAAGATCATTTGATAACTTCCTATACCCCATATGTGCTGTTCAAATTTCTCATATTTCAAATGATCTATGAGCTGCTCTAGCTACTTATATTTGCTTGTCTTTACTTCTTGAATTATGATTTCACTCATACATCATGAGGGTGGTAAAAACTTAATTATATTTTGGACTTGCCATTTTGGCGTCATACTTTTTGTTTCTTTCTTTCTTCTCCTCTCTTAAGGGATTCTATATCACATTGAATGTAGTCATCATATAGAATGTGATATGTCACATTCTATATCACATTGAATATAATAAAAGAAATCATAAGTCATCATAATTTACATATGCATATAGTCATGATATTGACATCTATAAGAATACTACGTAATTACATCTGATATATGAAACACATGGGAGCAAATTGACGCTACTTGAAGGGAGTTAATGGTAGTTGATGTCCTCATTGTTGGAGATGGAGAACAGCTTATTTTATGTTTTGATCTGTCAGTCGATAGCTTTGGTAGATTGAGAGGAAACATGTTTGGCTGGTTCATGCTAGAGTCACTTGTGTGAGATGAAATTCATAACAGAATGTCCAAGGCACTTGTTACAGACTTTTAATTCTTCACTTCCTTTTTTTTTTTTTTTTTTTTAATTTAGAAAGGCAACTCTTTTGAAACAAAATACTAGGAGAAGCCAACAAAAATAAGCTCCCGAAAGGGGGGAGGCATCCTTCAAACTTATTTTGATAGGAAACAAATTTCATTGATAGCATGCAGTATACAAAAAAGGCCTATCCAATGAAGTTACAAAAAACTTCTCCAGTTGGATATAAAGGTATTTAAACTATAACTGCTAAAAGGATTTACACTTTTGCACCAAGATAAACTAATTCAATGAAACTAATTTTTTTCTTTTCCTGTTCCCATAAATTAAATCAAACTTTGTTTTTGAAATTTATTGGAGTTTCTATCACTGTTCTGTTTGACTGGACTGTCACAGAAGGAAATAATCGGTTGCTCGAGGATTTAATGATTTTTTTTTCATATGGATGACGGTTTGATTGTTATTATTATCATTTTATTATTCAGCGCTGTATTCTGAGCTGGCTAATTTAACTTGAGTGGTTGATATTGATTCATGGCTTTTGCATACTCTTCTTTAAGTTGAAATTTTACCCTCCTAGAAAAGTGATGTAAAAGAAGGAAAACATTTAAAGACATTGAACAATCTGATCTGTATGACTGTATCTAGGTACTCTGTTATCCTGTTTGAACTCATTTAAATAATCTGTTTTGCTTGCTTCCAGTTCCACCGCCATTTTCCCTTTCTCCTTTTTCATTTTCATTTATGCACTTTTCTTTTCATGCGTGATTATTTTTTGTGGAGCAGGTTCGATTTCTCACCAAAATTTATCACCCGAATATTGATAAGGTATGCATCTGTTTGCTTAATTCTTATTGCCTCCCCCACCCTCACCAGCATGCTGCAGTTGGTTATTGATCATGTGATTTTCTGTATTTAAGCTTGGGAGGATATGCCTTGATATTCTGAAAGACAAATGGAGTCCTGCTCTACAGATACGAACTGTACTTTTGAGGTATTATAATGTTTGATGTGATTTGCTAGTGAATCTGCATATTTGCTTTGAACATTTTGCATGGTCTTTCGCTCATCTAATTAATTCTAGTTAATAAATATCTGAAAGTTTGATCACCATGCATTGTATCATTGGTTTGGAGAACTGAAACTTTTATTCTGTCTGGTTGGGAAAGATTTAACTGATTAACAGTCACCTTTTCTGTCACATTCTGTTAGTATTCAAGCACTTCTGAGTGCTCCAAATCCAGATGATCCGCTTTCTGAGAACATTGCAAAGCATTGGAAAACAAATGAGGCAGAAGCCGTCGAAACAGGTTAGTTGGTTTCAATCATTACTTCTGTTGAACTCTGGGTTTAATTATTTATTTAGTCTTAGTTTATTCTGTGTCAATTTGGGTTCTATCCTTTTAAAAGATTTATTATCGTTCCTAGCTTTTTGTGAAAGCTTACCATACATCTTGTAGAGGTTACCCAAATCAGTGGGGTAAGTTGTATGTGGATGTGATAGATGAGTTTTCATGAGGTGGCATTTGATTTGAACGACGTGCATGTCGGAGAGGTGGTTGCATATTGTTTGAGTTGAAAGCTAATTGAATCGAGTCGGGTTTAAAGCTCGAGGTAAAAGGGGTAAGGGGAGAGGGCATCACCAAGGATACTTGTCCACATACAACTTTTTATGGGAATTCCGTAACTCATAACGTGGACGTATGGTAAGCTTTAACTAAAACGATTAGTACGATAACACATTTTTTAAAAGGACAAGGATGAAGCCCGACACAGCTCGAACTCTATGAGCTTGATTTGTTGTAGTCTGACACCATTTTCTGATTGGATGTTCTCAGCAAAGGAATGGACTCGATTATATGCAAGTGGTGCCTAAAGGGAACTGCAGAAGCCTTTTACTTCGGTCTAAAATAACATCAATCTAATGTCTATGATGCCATTTGCTCTGTGGATTTGAATGGAAAATTTGGAAGAATTTATAGTGTCGAAATTGTCTCTAAAATTGTAACTGCCTCTAAAATTTGCCTCTTTTGGCAGAAGTCTTTGCCCCCATACTTTGTATGATGATTAGATGGATTACATTCTTCTAAGTTTTTATTATCTCCCATATTTTATGTCAGGACCCACAAGCTCCATTGAAGAAGCTTTCTCCTCAAATCCTTCCCTTCAAACAAGCTTCCTCTATTTTATGTGAGCTTGTTTTTCCTTCTCATTCGGAGAAATTAAGAGAACTGGAATCCTCATCATTGCTCCAAGAGGAGCAATGAAATATAAGTTCTAAAATTCATATAAATTTCATAGGAAATAAAATTATTGGGGATGTGTTTGGGTCTGGGATGATTTTTTTGAACTAATACTAAGTGAAATACCAATTTTTTTTTCAATCCAGGTATTGAATCAGATGACTATTATTAAGATCTTTCTGGAACGTGTTCAGTTTTGCCGTTTAGAGTTCAAATTATTTAGGAATCGTATGTAATTTTTTAAATGTCGATGGAAATATTGAGGTCTTATCAACGAAAATATAAATAAAATGCTGATGGCTTAAAAAATTATAAAAAATATTGAAACTAACAAATAATCATTTCAAAGTTATATTTCTCAGTATTATTTCTATATCCACATTAGTGATGTTTGTTAATATTTTGTCAAATTTTTGTGGTTAATAATTTGATGATATCGTCAATGATATTTAGGATAAATCAAGGGGTTAGGGAATATTATTTGTTGATATAAAATTATTGATCAACCAAAAGGACAAGAAAAGAAAAAGGAAGAAAAAAGACAAGTGTTTCTTTTATCTTAAAATAAAGTGTTAGCAATTACAAATGACTGGTAAAATAAGAAAAGAAAAAGGATTGAGCATGGGGATGAAAGAAACATTTGATATCTGATATATTGTGATGCAAAACAAAATAAACAAATTTATAAGATGCAAAAGAATTTAAAAAAATTTGAGAGGAAATTTGAAAACTTGAAAATTACAACTCTCTCCTCTCTATTGTGCAAGTGGGTATCTGCAAATGGGAAAGAAGAGGCACTCTTCAAAGAGAGGAAGAGGCATACCTCCTTTATAGAGATGGACAAAACAGAGAGTAACAATTTCACATTCCCTCTTCTTTTGAGAGAATGGAGTGTTTTGGGAATTTAGAAATGTGCCATTGTTATTTTTCTTTCATTCTTTCCTCTTCCTTTCACACAAGTCTTTTCCATAAAAGTTGTATGGGATCCCACTAAGAGCAAAAGGAAACCAAGAGAAGGGTTCTTGAAAAAGAGAGAGGCATCCTACTAAGAGAAAAAGGAAAACAAGATAAGAGTCTAAGAACTCTTTTGGTCCCGTTCTTGTACTTTCAAAACGTTCATTTTGATCTCTATACTTTCAAGTTTTGTTCATTTTATGTACTTTCAAAACATTCGTGTACTCTAAAAAAGTGACTATCTTATCTTAGTCCCTTCATTTTCGTATTTATCTCATTTATTTCAATCAAAAGTTTAACAAGACATTTCCCTTACTAAATTTTTCAAAATGTAGCCGTAATTTTGTACAGAAGAGTTTCCATTATATACAAAATATTGTAAATATAGACCAAAATGATCAATTTTTAAAAATATAGAGACCAAAATAAATATTTTGAAAGTACAAAGACTAAAATGAACAGTAGTTGAAAGTACAAGGACTAAAATATATATTTTAAAAATACATGGGCCACAAATTCAAAATTACAGACCCCAGGAGTATTTCAACCTACTTAGAGGGTTTTGCTTCAACTGATACAGAATTTCACAGAGAGGTTACAAATAGAAAAATCACTTCAATAGGCAACCCTTGAGCATGTACAGATTACAGAAATCTCAGGTCCTCAAAGCCATATGTTAAATCAAATGACAGCCGCTTCTACCAAAAAGGTTAATAAAAATCTTCAGCCAATTCTAAACAAAATGATCGAATCACTCTAACTCAACTATGCTACCAATTTGGGTTCTTGGGCTGCCAAATCTTGGGACAAAGTATCAAAGTTCAAACTCCTAGCGACGTCAAAGAAGTGCGCAACCGCTTCTTCTGGTGTACCGACAAGGACACCGTGCCCGAGGTTTAGAATGTGTCCTCTTGGTCCTGCACATCTCACAACCCTACAAACATATCCCATATGTTTAATGCAGATAACAATGTTAAGAAGCCAAATCACATAAACAACTCCTTATCTATAAGGAAAGAAAAAAACAAGAACGTGAGAGAACTACTTTTTATGCATCTATATGCTACTTCTGCCATTATTCTATATGAAGCAAGCAGTTGAATAAGATTCTAGGATGGGGATTCTATTCTTGGCCAGTTTACCATAGTTTTGTCACATGGCTTGTACGGTTCATCTTTAAAGCGTGATGGATAAAGCAACATAAAAAGTTAAATGACAAGAATCGGGTTCTCCTGGCACTAAAACTATGGTCCCAACTCTTGAAAACTTCTCAGTCATGAACAAAGACAAGAGCAGGAAGGTCAATTGCAAACCTTTGAATTTCTTCCGTTAGAGCAGGAAGAGGAGAAAACAGATAAGCAGGGTCAACATTTCCTTGTACACTGATATCAGTTCCTAATCTTTTCCTTCCGTCAGCCATGTCCACTGTCCAGTCGAGCCCAATAACGTCAACTCCTATTCCTTTCATTCGCTCTAGAAGACCGCCATTTCCGTTGATGTAGAGAACAAGTGGTGTTTCAGGGCACTTATCCCTTACTGTACTCACAATCTGCCATCAAGAAGTTCAATGATGACTAAAAATAAGAGACCGTTTGATATTGCAACTTTATCTATTTGCTTACATCGTAAGGTTCAGTATTTTATGTTAAGTTTTGATTGATGGACATGGTCGCTCCAGTTCTTTGAAATGCAAGTTCTCTCTTCCAGCAAATTGTCCAGTTAAAGAAAAAAAAGTTGGTTGAATAGTTGCAAGGAGTTCTAAAATGTGAAAAGATAGCTTACCTTCTCAATATATGGCTTTGACCAAGATTCCCACATATCAGGTGGCAATTGTCCACCCCACGAGTCAAATATTTGTATGCAATGAGCCCCATGTTCTATTTGGTAAATAATATATTCTGATATTGACTGTGTCAAATGAGAAAGGAGCGTCTTTAACACATGTGGGGCTGTGTGGCACATTCTCTTAATCTTTGTATATGTTCGTGTTGTACCGCCTTCCACTATATATGTTGCAATTGTCCAAGGAGCTCCTACAAAACCCAAGACAGCAGCACTGCCACCAACCTGAAAAAAGAAAAAAGAACAAACCAAATATGTGAATTCAAAATTATTTTATGTCAAACACTTAGACGTACAAAATATTGTTGTTTTTATTTATAAGGACGAAACGTGACAAAACCTACCTCCTTGCGCAGAAGTTTAAGCGACTCCCCGACAAAGTTAAGTTTCTCGAAATCAATGGGATGAAGAGCCTTCAATCCCTCTTCGGAGTGAATAGGTGACTGAATAACAGGGCCTCTTACCTCTTCTATGTCAAAAGGGACGCCAAATGCAGGTAGAGGGGTTAGAATGTCGGAAAAAATAATAACTCCATCAGGATGGAAGGCCTCCCAAGGCTGCAATGAAATTTCTACAATGAGATCAGTTGTTTCTGATCTCTCTCTGAAAGATGGATATTTCTCTGCAAGTTTTCTGTAAACTGCCATATACCTTCCTGCCTGCCGCATCATCCATGCTGGTGGCCGACTAACAGGATCTCCTCTTGCCGCCTTCACCAATAGTGGAGGATCTGATCAAAATGTTCACTGAAAAGTGAAAATAAGCACCATCCATCTCTAATTCGGGATCCAAATACAAGGAAAGAAGTACACTGTTAAACACGAGCATAATTATGTTAGAACGATAATAAAATAAAGATGACCCATTTGTTGCTGTTATTGTATATGAAGTCCTGTGACAAGGCAAGAAGTTGTTTCAAGAGTTAAGACTATCCCTAAAGGATTAGTCACTGTCATGTCTTGACAACTTGCAAGGTATCTATAGAAAATTATGTTAATTCTGCATCAGAGAAGAGTGGAGCAGCATGTGAAATACAAGCTAACAAATAGGTGGGGATAAAGCTGGTTGGGCTAGAGTAAATTCTCCCATTTTGGAGATGGAAAAAACTTCTTTCCACTTCAAGGCTGAAGAGTGGCCTCTAAAGGAAGAACTAGGAAAAGTGGTAAATCTTCCTTGCTACAGTGAAACAGATTGGTAACAATGTGCACCTCATTGGAAGGACTGTAATACCAACAACAGTAGACTTACTCAGATTAACCTTTGACCTAGAAAGCTTTCTCAAAACTTCTGATCACATTAAAGGGGCCACTGACCTTAGGCAAATCCATAAAGGATAAAAGAAGAGTTTCCTCAGAAATGGAGGTGAGCTAAGCTAAATCTAGCCTCTGGATCAATCTTAGGACAAGGACCTTCTTTCCTTTTCCACTCATATTGGCCATAAGAATGGGATAAATTACCTATCACTTAAGCAAAAGCAATTGAAAAATAGAAATGGTTGAGGGAAGAATTATTTTTGTTCTTTCTGCCAACAGAGATGGTAGATTGGCAGGCAGAAGCCATCTGGTACAATTTTTGAAGTCTAATAATTCTCCCTATGTCCACATCACTAACAAGAGGCACCATCTGAGAAGAAAACAACTCTGAAACAAGAATATTTTCACGCAACCAGCTCACAGTAAAATGCAAAATTTTAATCACTTTCCTGGTGCCCGTTTTAATTATGCTCCTTTTTCTCCACAATGATTGTTCTTTCAAGTCGGCTCCTCAGTTTTATAACCTCGTAAAAGTATCTTTCAAATAACTTTAACTAGCATAAAGATTTCATAAATCTGATTATAAATTGAAAAAGATTCCTGGAGTAACACCTCAAATAGTTTTAATTTTTAAATACTCCTCGGTAAGTAGAAATTATACAGATTTTTTCTTCCTCATTTCTCTCCTTTTTACATTAACTGAGAACACAAACATGGTGCTAAGAGCCTAAGAATTTGCTTCAAATAGTTTTAAATCACTAACAGGTTGAAATTCAGTTCCATTAGGTTGTAAAACTTCCTCCATGTTCATAGCTCTGGTTGAAATTCCGTATAAGCAAATGTTAACCAATTTTCCTTCACTTAGGTCTACAGAAATCCAGCCTCATCCTCCCACTAAAACAACAAATTCCATAGTCAAGATTTCAACAATTCACACAAATTACCAGTCTCCATGTACAAAATACAAACTACGAGCTCTCAAAACCATCACATCTTTCATTCCCGATACAGAGAGTAACTCAATTCAAAATTAACAGTAATAGATAAGTTCATAGACAAAATAAAAACAGACCCGATAATGAAGATGAGCACGTGACAGAGAAATGTTTATTTTTGGAGACTAGCCTCCTGGGAATAAGTAATTCGACGGAATTGCTCGGTTTTATGGCCGAGTGGACTAAGAAGCTCGAAGATTTCCATCCCAGAGAACTGCAGGCACTGAAAAACAAGAACAAAATGCTTCGCACATAGCAATTACAAGAAGAAGAAGAAGAATTTGGCAGAATAGAACACTGGCTAACCTGGCCGGCGAAGCGAAACTACTCATCCGGAAGAGATAGAGAGAGATTGATGATTTTGTAGAGCTTCTTCTCCAATGGCTTCCTTATCGCTGTGTCCTGTTTTCAGGATTTTTGTCGCTTCATTTTCCATTCTATTATTTTACTTCTTTCATCTATTTTACGTCTTCCATTTTCGCGGGGAATTAATTTTTACCCCGCAAGATTTATTAATTCTTTTCAATCGGTTAAAGCATTTTAAAAGGTCCTCAAAATTTATTAATGAAAAAATATTGCATTTTTTAACTTAATAGATCTTGAAAAGTAAATTTGGAAATTGTTAAATTATGTGGTTCAAAATTCGACTAATATAATACTCAAAATCATGTAAAATAAATGTCCAAACCTAAGCACGAAATACTTGAACTTAGTTGTCAATATAAACATAAATCGTCGGGGGTTAAAGTATATATTCTAACTAGAAAGTATATATCCTACACTAGAAAATCGAAAGTTCAAATCTCTATCTTCACATGTTAGTAAAGTACAACAAATTGAAGGTTTGTGTTAATGATAACGATACCCTAAGTATCTTCATAGTGCTATGTTAGTGTCCGCTTTGAACATAACCCTCGTGATTTTGCTTTTGGTTTCATTCAAAAAGTCTCATACGAATGGAGATAATTGTTTTGATCCATGAATTACTCTCTTCTCTAACTGGACTTTGTTTACACACTTTACAAATCCAACAATCCTTCCCTCGATCAAAGTGATACTTGTATCTTGCCTCGAATAATCATGCAATTCATCTACTCTTCATCTACTCCCGATAGAAAACAAGAGTCTGTTTCTATTCAGCATGTCTTCCAGATAGAGCACTCGCTACACAGATCACCTTGTGGGAACACCAGATGTCGTTTTATCGCACCTTCAATCTCCTCTCTTCGAACAAATATATCTCCTTCTTCCTATCAGCCTACCGGACTGTGGTCGGCTTCCTATCAATCTACCCCGACTCAATAAGGCATGTCTTGCTCGTCACCCGAGCACAAAATATGTCTTTGCAACCTCGAGCACTTTTTGTTCGATTTCGAGATCCATCCACAAGTTCCATTTAGGCTTACCATTCACTCTTATTCAACTCCCGAGGATTCTTTCCACACAATTAGTTTTTTTTTATATTTTTTTTACCATGGCTCTAATACCACAATTGTTAAGGACGGTACCCCTTGTACTCCAAGTACTTTCACAATCGTATGATATTGTCCGCTTTGGACATAACCCTCACAACTTTGTTTTTTGTTTCATCAAAAAGATCTCATACAAATTTATATAATTGTCTTGATCTATATACTATGATCTCTTTTTCCCTAATCAGTGTTCGACTTTGTTTGCACACGTTACAAATGGAACAGTTTGAACCTAAAAAAGAATAGATGTCAATTAAAGTTGAACTATACTCAGGTTGGCAACTATAAAGTATTAATTGATCTAAATTATGTTATAACTTTAAAAAGAATATGGACATAAATAACATAATTAAATATGTGAAAAAATGTTTCAAAATTTGTGAACTAGCACAATTCAAATCAAATTTAAAATTTATGCTGTACTTGGAAGAAAAAAAAGACAGAGTTGAGAAATTTTCTAAAATTATGCAATGTATTATTGTCAACGAAAATTAAAAGAGTGATAATGGGAAAATTATAACATTAAAGAACACATTAAAACATTTTGCTTAATTGGGCTCTTATTCTAATTTCATTTATAAAAGCAATATCCCATCATTTTCTTAGGAATTTTTTTAAATATTATTAAAAATAAAACATTAAAATATTTGAAACCCCAAATTATTTTAGAAAATGTCATTGGTCAAGACATGCGTCGAAATCTTCAAGCAACATGAGCAAAATTAAAAAAATATATATAATAATTTACGAGTTCAAATAAAATTGAAAGTACCACAATTTTAGAGATTTCCTACAAATCCTCCTCAAATTGTTGAAGGCCTCCTTGGTAGAGAACGGAAGATCTTGCTTCATATTCACTAAATCATTTTTCGAAAATTATTTTCGAATACTCTAATAAGTGGAAATTCTGAAAACAATTTATTTTTTAATTTTGTCAGAATTATATTTAAAAAGATAAATATTTTGATAAATACATAGAGATGTATGCTAATTACGTTTAGTTATGCTTGCTTTCACATATTATAAACTTATTTCATTTTTGTTAAAATTAAAATATTTAAAATATAATATATTATAAATTATATAATATTGTAAAATATTAATTCTATCCAAATTTATAACATTTATGTTAATAAATTAATTAATAATATTTTATATTAAACTAAACCACAAAGTAATAGTTGAGTTAAACACACGATTCCAACCATTATCTTATCTTGAGAAAAATATCCAAAAAATGAAAGAATGAGGAACGCAAACATTTCATTCGAGAATTTTATCTCAAAGAATCCTGTACTTCATGAGTTTCGGTATAATCGTAATGTTGGGAAATTGCTTGACCTAAATAATTTCCCCTTCCACAAAAAATAATATAGTTTATGATTGGATACAATAACTCTCCCCAGAATATCTCATAAAGGTCTCAACAAAAGCCTCATAACTTCTAAGTATTTTACACAATTAATACTTAGGAACAGGAATGAAAAACCCAAGATACAATTACCCGATAATATCGATCTTGATCAACCCCAAAGCTTCTACCAATGCCTGAGCCGCGGCCAAAACCCGCTCAAAATCGGCTGCAAATAACCCCTTGTTCAGCTGGTAAAACCCTAAAACTCAAGGCTGCGTAGTTATAAACATCGAAACAACGTCACGGACGGAAAACTACGCCCGTGCACTAACCAAGACGGCGCCTAGCGCCGCGGTACTGTCTTCTCGGCCCAAGTGGCCTGCAGCGCTCTGCTTCCCTGTTTTTCATCTCCGCTTCGACCCCGACTCTTTTCTAGCTCGTTCTAACGTCGTTTTGACTCCACCAATCCCAACACGTAAAACATATAATGGAATTGTTTATGTCTTTTGTTGAATCTTTTTCATGGCTCGATAGAAAATTTGATAAGTTAATGAGTTTTTTCGTGTTTCATAATACGGTTAAAAAAATTAATTTTCTTTTTATAAGGGCTAAAATAATTTATTTTGGCTTTTTGACCCCATATTATAAACATGAGCATAAAAGATCTCCCTCCAACCCATACATCCGGGTTTCATTGCTTTCCACCGTTGTAGTTCTGGTAGATCTTAATACTTGTTGACCAATTTTTTTGGGGTTAAAACACAGTGAAAATCTTGTCAGTTGTACCAAAAATCTACATTTAAGGAAATCTTTTAAACTTAAAAATCTGCATCCGAATAAATCATCTACTTTAGTTTTACTTTTCGAAATCTTAGGATTAAAAAAAAAATAAAATGAAAGAGACCTCTGCCACGTGTCAAATAAAATTTTTTTTTCCATCTCATTTTAAATGAACATAAGTCGTCTCCTGCATACAGACGGAGTAATTTAATATACACTATTTTTTGAAACTAAAATATTTTTGAAATAAGTTTTAAAATTTGTAATATTTAAAAAACAATCCAACTATTTTGTCTACAAATGGCCCACAAACCATTATATCTTAGTTAAACATCTTAAACTATCATTATCTGTATCCATTTTTTTAATCATTAATAATTAATATTATCACTTATTCAAAAAAAATTATTATTATGTTTTCTAATTTGATAAAAACCCCACCTAACTCTTCATGTCCATTTCAATATTTAAAATTGTGGAAAACAAAGATCCTTTTATTTAAATATTTATATTTATTTAAAAAAAATTGGAATGTCATGTTTTTTTTCGGTACATTAAAATGTTATGTTTGTTTCACAATTAACTGTTCTATGTTTTCAATTATTTGATTTAGTCCTAAAATAATAAAAGATATTCACACCTAATAACAATTTAAATATAATATTTGAATTTTATCCACTTTTTAATTGGTTAAAAATGACAGAAATCCTTCCAATGTCAAGTTTCGTAGGGTCTACCTAGTCTAAATTGAGGGTGCGAGTTTGAGATCATTATTATTTCTAACCTCGAACTTGTTCCTAATATAATATCTCACATCTTTAAAATTATAAAATTAATTTTTTTAATACAACAAATGTGAGTACGAGAGGTTTGACTCTTTAACCTTTAGAGAATGAATAATATATCTTAACCACTTAATTATGCTTATGTTGAGGAGCAAAAATTGTAAAATTAGTATTACATACTATTACATATATTATTGACTTTTAAAAAAATATTATATAATTATTTTAAAAATCTATTTAACTATTTTGTTAGTTTAATAAATGTGGCCTASGAGATCGAACCTTTCAGGTTGAGAATGAAAAAGTAATTGGTGTATTATCAATTGAGTTATGTTCGACTACCCAATAAAATTATTTAACTAATAAGTGTGGAAATGTTGAAAGATTAAAATTGGCATAAAATATCCAATTTTAAATTATAGGGAAATTTTTTTTTACCATAAACTCGGTAAGATATATCAATTTTTACCGCAAATTTTTATTACATCAAATTGGACCATATATTTAGATAAATGTTGCAATTTTAAATTGTCACCCACTCACTACATTTAACAAAGGAAAACGAAAAAGAAAATCTAAAAAAAAAACAACTTATTTAAAGGAAAATCAAATTTTGCTCAAAATTAAGTTTCATACATCCATAAAATCAACTATTAAATAATTTTGTTAATAGTCTTGCCTTTGTGTTTGTAAGGGAAAAGAAGTTTTAGTGTAATTTTTCTTTGAACTCCAATTGATTTTATATTAACATATTTTATAATTCTTTAATATCATTAAACTTAAGAAAGAACATTTTTTGAATTACTTTTCAAACGAAAGTCTACCGTACGATAAAATTTTATTGAAGTACAAAACTTGCCACATAGGTAAACATTGCAACATTCGTCCAAGTTTGATGTGTAAACCGACGAAATTATAAGCTTAAGATGAAAGTTGATACACCTCCACATTCATGCGTAAGAATTAATTTTTTTTTCTTTTGAATCTTATTTATTATTATTGTTATTTTTGAACTAGGAAAAATCATATTTATTAATATATAGTTGACTTTTATTCAAAAATATGCATCAGAAAAATATAAAAATATAGATTCTTTTTAAGGTGAGAATTCACATTGTCAAGTATAACAACGTAATTATGATTTTAAAAATATGACAAAAATATTCTCAGATAGGATATTTCTCAACATTTACCCAATTAATTTCCTAAGCCAAGGAATAGAGGTTGGGGGTCAAGGACAAAAAATCCAGAGGATGGGACTTTGTTTTGTTATTGGTTTTTAAAAATTATTCTTACTTATCCACGTGTTTTTTTTTTCTAACCCTACTTTAAAATTACTTAAAAAATTATATTAATTTAAACCTAAAAAGTTTCCAAAATTTTGCTAAAATTTCATACACATTAAAAAAAAAACCATGATCTATTTTCACAAACTTGTTTAAAAAAAAAAAAAAATCAAGAGACATCACGTTAACTCCTTTTTAACTTCTAATTGTGAATTTGATCTCTGATAATATTTTCAAGTTAGCGAAAATATACTATAAAACTATTTATTAACTATATGATATAGAAACAAATTAAAATTGATAATAAAATTAATATTTCAGACCCTTAAAGATTTTCTTAAGAAAAAGAGAAGAAGTTAAAAACTTAGAGTAAAAACCACATATACCTACAAACATAAGAAAATATGTATATTTTTTAATCTATGTTAGAACTTTCACATATTAAGGAATAACTATATGTTAATAAGATTTATAAAAAATAAACTAATAATAAATTGGTATATATAATATATCAATCCATATTTTACTGCATAATACGAAAATATTTTCCTCAAAAAGAATAAAAAACGAAAAAAATACATACTCATTATATTATAATTTGAAATTGGTATATGGTTTAGTATTCATTATTAGAGAAATAAATAAAATACATGCATAATTAAAGATAAATGGCAATAATGAATATGATTTATTTTAATAGTAAAATTGAAATGAAAAAAATTAGAAGATAAAATAAAATGAAAAGAAAATTAAAAAGAGTAGGTCAGACTTACTGGAATTGGAGTCAACCAAATCCATTTTGTCACACCTAATAAAAGTATTTAATTTTTTCCAAGTTCTTTTAAATTAATATTTATTAATAGAAAATTGAATTAAAAAAAAAGAAAAAGTAAAAAAAAAAGGAATATTTGAATATTTAAGGGGAAAAAAAGTCTTCGTCATTTGTCTTGGATGGACCGAGTCAGTGGAAAAGCCCAACTCTATTTCTCGCCTCGGAGAAATTCTAAACTCACATCACTGTCACGAACGCCCCATCACAACTTCCGCATTGATCGCGTTGTTCTAAAGCATTACCCCTTGTCTCACAGCCCTGTCTCTGTATCATTCCCCTTTCCCCTTCTTTCTCTGCGATTTCGTTCTCGTCTTCTTCCCTATGTTTTCTCTCTCTAAAAACTGTCCTCTCTCTCCCTCTTCATCTCCTTCACGATGTGAGGCTGAGCCCTAGAACCAGCGCCATGTCTCTTCGCAAATCGTTTCTCTCTCGGAAGTTCTCCTCCAAGTCGTCGCACAAGGATCCGAATGCTGCAGGAGGAATCGCCCGAGTCGCCGCCTCGGAGGTGGAAGATGACGCCGGTCAGCCGGGCGGGAGTGGCGACCGGATGCAGGGTGAATCTTCTTGGTCCTCCATGCTACCGGAGCTTCTTGGAGAGATCATTCAGCGAGTGGAGGCTTCCGAGGACCGTTGGCCTAACCGCAAAAACTTTGTTTCCTGCGCTTGTGTCTGCAAGCGTTGGAGGGACATTACTAAGGAGATCGCGAAGGCCGCCCATCATACTGGGAAGATCACTTTCCCTTCTTGCCTCAAACAGGTATTTCTTTAGATTTTTTTTTTTATCGATGTTCATCAAACTTCTTGTTATTTTGATTTTTGATATTGGTTAATGAAATTGTATGCAATTGGTGGCTGTAGAGTGTTTTATTTCTTTTACATATATTCGGTTTTTTAAAAAATATTTGTTCGGAATTAATCTGCGGCGTATTTGGGATCGAGAATTAGATTTCATAACACAATGCTAGTTTTTGAAAATGTGCGGGATTGTTTGTATATGTTTGTGATTTTCGGATGGATTTTGAAGTAGTTGGCTTGGCGGTGTAGATATATGTTTGCTTTTCGAACGTTGATTGCATACAGCTATGTAATATTGGGAATTCCTTTTGTTGTGGATGGGAAAATGCAAGACATTTTTTGTGTTGCATAGAATGGTTTTGGGCGATAAAGTGACCGAGATTTCTCTCTAATTTCTGCTAAGATGCTCCGTTCTTGGTGATTCGAACATGCCCAGAGCGAGCCTCCCATTGAGTGATTAATAAAGTGGACTTGTTGCTTAGATGTATCGAATTATACGAAATAATTTTTGAATATGGGCTCCCATAAATATTACTTCTCTTCTGAATCATTAGGTTTGCAAAGCAATTTCATGCTGTGTAAATAGTTCTGTTCTGAGTCTCATCAGAATACCATCTTATGAGTTGTTAAATAAAGAACGTTGGTGTCTTCTGAATCCTGATGCGACATTGATCTTATTGTAATATATTGTAAAAAGTTGTCTGAATAATCATCCAAATTATGGTAATGTGCAATGCAGCCTGGACCAAGCGACCTTCCGCATCAGTGTCTTATAAAGAGGAACAAGAAGACTTCGACGTTTTACCTTTATCTTGCCCTTACACCATGTGAGTAACTTCTGGTGTAATTATTCAATTTGTAGAGGAAAAAGGGTCACGGCAATGAAATAGGAGCTAAGTATCATCTGTTTCACGCTATATGACTTGAATGAATGGTTTAACTCTACCAGGGTTTATGCTGTCATATAACTTACAAAAGGCTGAAGAAATTTATTTAGTGTGGCCAAATTTATAGGTCTATGCTTCCTCTGTCCCTTTTTATTCACCATGAAGATGATTGAAAAGAAATATAACTTTTTTTCAACACACAAATATGGTGGCGTGCAATGTTGCCTTATAATTAAAACATAAGGATTTTGCTCATTTTAAAAAAAAATTTAAACTACATCTAGAACTTCATTTGTCATTAATTTGAATTTAAAATGGCATGCTTCTGCAACTCTTAACAAAAGAGCATTCTTTTGGGTTGTAAGGTTGAAATGCAACTGCACTTTTTTTTCCAAAGATTTTGGAGATATTGGGAATGTAACATTCAGGCATCGGGTGAATTTTTTTTATCTTTGGGTTTTGTAAATGATTTTTTTTTCTTGTTCTCTTACACGCTCATTTTAGTGGATGGAGTACTTTTTCTGGTTGCATGTTCTTGTTCTTTTATCCATTGCCTTATGTTGTCTTATCTTATCCTTTTGTTTATCTGGAATCTTTGTTATTTTCTTTTTATTCCTCAAAGGCTCAGTCAAGATTAGGTCGAGAGTATACGTGCAAGCAATCAATTTAATAGTGCTTCTCACGTAGAAGTTTTCCTAGTCATCTAAACAAAGATTCTTAGCTCCCCTTGTGGACCGTCAATGATAGAATAGAGGCTGGCATGGACATCCAAAGAGGCTTATGTTTAACTTCAGTTACATCAATTACCATATGGGATTGATTGGTTAGCTTAAACATCTCTCTTGCACACATGCACACACATATGAATGGATTTTTGAGTTTATGAGAAACATCAACTTTATTCTTTTCCTTTCCGACACTGATTGTCTTTTTCAATGAGCATAGCATGAAGATGACCAACCATGAGTTCTGGTTAGAAGTTCGCTAGTTTAACATAACAAAAGATTTGTTTTGACGTTTAAAGTTTTTAAACGTGGCTCTATGCATTAAAATTTCAACTTTTGCATCCGGTGTATGTCTTGGTTGCTGCTGATGATGATTGACAGATCTCTGTTCTTCATTTGATCTCATCATTATATATCATATAGTTGCCTGTTGTTTGTTATCCTATTAATAGAAAATTGTATACGTGCTATTAGCTCATTTAAGGGTTTTTTCCCATACTTCTCCAGCATTTACAGATAAGGGGAAATTCCTCTTAGCTGCTCGGAGATATAGGCATGGAGCTCATACTGAGTATATAATATCACTTGATGCTGAAGACTTATCCCAAGGAAGCAATGCTTACGTGGGAAAGTTAAGGTAAGAATTAAGATATTCATGTCGAGAGAAATTTACAGGGGAAAAATTGTTTGTTTTTGGCGCATCATACGTCTTTGCATCCCGAGTTTTGAATGCTTCTCTCTCTCTCTCTCCATATATACACATATATATATAACTGATACACTTAACACTAGGATGATGCTAGTTTTACTTTTTTCGTGTTGGGAATATTTATATCTTCAGCCTGATCTTGCTTTCCCATGAGGGACCCATCAAACTTCTTTCGGGAATTGCAAGAACCAAACCAATAAAGCATACTGGGAGAGTATAGTAGAGCCTCTCTTTTTGAAATATTAAATGTTCCTAAAAAACTTTTCGATTAGTAAATGTTATGAGGTCATGTGATAGCTCTTAATTTACTTGGAACTTTATTAAAAATTACAGATACCTTGCCATTTTTTCTTTCCCCTTTTAGCTTACCTGAGTAAAAACCAATCTAGTGTAGTTCATGGGCCAGTAGTTGAAGTATCTTATATTTTTAAAAGGTAATAATTTTATTTGTCAAATGAAAGTTTTAAAGGGAGAATTCCTGAATAAAAGGCTTAAAAAGAATTTTTCCAGTTGGAACAAGTGTGGGATGGATAATTTAATATCTACTCAAATGTTTATGAGAACTCCGAGAGGAAGTACCTAGATGGATAACTAAATCTTAGACCTCTCTCACATGTCTATCCCTATCTTCAAATGTTCTCTTCGTTACTTGCCATTTTTCTCAAAGGCTCTTACAGCATTGAGCCATAATATGGGATATGGTTCTTGCTGATCGGGAAACCACGTAAATAGCTTGCAAAAACTGCTTGATGCTACCACGTATTTACTACTCTAGTTTACCACTAGACTTAGAGAGAGATCATTAGTTTACAAATTTGGACCGTTTCCCGATTCGTGCGTGTCATCCTTGCGGAGGAGCCGTGCTAATCTTCTTTGTATCGTTCCAATTTTATTGGATGTGTCAATTAGTTGACAAATCTTTTTCTTTTTTCAGTATTGTACTCAAATATATTTATTTACCCAAGACAAGTTTACCCGTAGATTTAGAGAGAGATCATTAGTTAACAAATCCTTTTTCTTTCTCCGTATTGTGCTGAAGATCATATACTTGTTAGCACGACAATTTTGCAGCTTGAATTTTCTTGGGACAATTTTTGTTTTATAAGTAGCAAGTCGTTTTCCTTTAGTAACATGCACTAAATTGTTTCCTCATTTTCTGATAACCTTGCAGCTCCGATTTTCTTGGCACCAATTTTACAATTTATGATAGCCAACCTCCACATAACGGTGCAAAGCCATCAAATAGTAAAGCAAGTCGCCGCTTTGCGAGCAAGCAGATTAGCCCACAAGTTTCTGCAGGTAACTTTGAGGTCGGGCAAGTCTCGTACAAATTTAATCTCTTGAAATCAAGAGGCCCCAGGAGAATGATATGCTCTCTAAAGTGCCCAATATCAGAAGACACTGGCACCAGCAAACAACCTTGCGAGGACTTGAAGATGAAGAAACCTGAGGCGGGTCCTTCTTCTTCTGGGTCGACAGTCTTGAGAAACAAAGCTCCTAGATGGCATGAGCACCTGCAATGCTGGTGCTTGAATTTTCACGGTCGGGTGACAGTAGCGTCAGTTAAAAACTTCCAACTTGTTGCTACCATCGACCATAGCCAGCCAGGAGGTAAAGGGGACGAGGAGACCGTCCTCCTTCAGTTTGGGAAGGTAGGTGATGATATCTTTACTATGGATTATAGGCAGCCATTATCTGCATTTCAGGCATTCGCCATTTGCCTTACGAGCTTCGGCACGAAGTTGGCGTGCGAGTAGTAGTATTATATTTTGCCAAAATTTGTTTAATTAAGAAAATGGGGCTTGATTGAGAAAAAAAGAAAAGGCCTTTCTTGTACATGGTGCTATTATTGTGCAATTGTTATCACTTTAAAATGAAGTTCAGGGCAACGAAACGATACTGTGGTGGTGCTAGCAAGCATTATGGCTTCTTTAAATCTTTATGTATATGTAATATATAATTAAAAAGGATGAGAATTGTTAATTCATCTCAATCTTCTGATCTACCTGCACTTTCATTTCTCTTCTCATGCCTTTTCTTCAACCTCTGTTTTTGAATTGTCATAAACATAATAAATGTTTTTTTTGGGCATATTATTATTATTTCTTGGGTGGATGGTTTGAATTTTAGTTATAATGGAATTATTTATTGAAACTAAGACTTGTTTGGAGTTGTGATCTCCACTAAGGCACATGACAGCAAAGCATTTGTTTAGGAGTTTCAAAGGGGAAGATTTGGAAGGGAAAAAGTACTTTCTATCTGTCATTAGAGAATCAAATAATGTGAAAGAATGGATGATGTGCTATGAATCCTTGATGAAATCATGATAATATATAGCAAGATCCATTTGCAATTTAGGTGTTTTCGATCTATCGAGTGGTTCGGACGAGAAATTTGGCACATTGAAGCTTAAATTTAACAAAAGGTACTGGAGGTTTTCGATGAAGTATGAATTAAATGAAAAAATTATTTTGTTACATGTCCTTAAATTTTTTAAAATTCTCATTTCTTTGAGGAAGAAACTCTAGACTGAGGAAGAAAGAAGGAAGGAGGAGGGAAAAAATTGAAAAGGTTCGAATTCGAGTCGGTTCGGTTTATGTCCATAGGATCGGTTCGATTTGATAAAAGCCGACCCGATGAAGTGGGTCGGGTCGGTTTTCGGGAACACTTTGTCCTCCTTCCCTTTTAGCCCAAAAAAGCTCTCCCCATTTCAATGTCATCTCTCTAAATCCATTCGTTCCCTATTTTATTTTTCATTCTGCACCAACGCCATCAGGTTTCTCTCTCTCATCATTCTTGTTGCGTTTCTCGCTGTTTCTTTCTAGTGTTGTACGCATTCCGCTTCCCCCATTTCATTTTCTGACGGCTTTCGTTCTTTTATATTGCTATTATTTTCTGGGTATTGGAATTACATCTTCCCCTCAGATTTTGGGAATTTTCCCCTTCTGGGTATTGGACAAATTGGACAACTTGTATTGTTCAATCTTCTTATTTATTGTTTTTTTGTATGGTTTTATTTGAATTGCTTTCCTCATAGTTTGGTTTTCTGTTGAATGATTTGAGGATCTGCTCGTTTGGGTTGCTTTTATTTTGTAAGAATTCTATGGCATTTGACTGTTTCAGAGTGTTTTTCCATGGCTGCCCTGTAATGAATAAGTTATCTTCCATTCCATCTTCATCATTAATTTATTGCCTTATTTAGACTGTGGCGATTAGGGTTTCTGCCTATCTATCTATTAAGTTTGAATATCACCATCCGATATTATCCAATATGCAATATTTAAATTGGTTTTTTTAGATCGAGAGAATTTTTTTTTTAATTGAACATTTTTAATATTAATTATCAATATGTGGAGTGGACTTAAAAAGTTCATCTGTTACTTGAGCTCCTTTATACAGGGATCCACTACCAGAAAATTCCTAACTCGGTTGAACCTAGAAGCTCCGGGGGAATCCATCTCTTCTGCAACAAGTTGTTTTGTGAAGCGGGAGTGGGACGATGGCAGCAAAAGGGGGATTGAAGATGAGGATCGCCATAATCCACCCAGACCTTGGCATAGGTAAGAACATTAGCTTTCTCATCGACATCGTTTGCTGAATTTCCATCAACAAATAATGGGTTGTTTGATTTTTTCTATTTGATCGAGGTGATTGATTAGAATTTTGATTTATCAATAGATGCCTATAGAGCCGAAGAATTGCACAGGCACATTATGTGAATTTGATTGTTGTTTATGTTGATTGGTGTTGTTTCTCTTTTCTTCTAGAAGCATGGAACACTGGCCCATTAAATCTAGTGATTTTTGAATTGCTGAAGTGTGTTTATGTGTCACTTGTCAGATTGTTTTCAATGAATTTAGCTTCTATTGGACCGTTGAGTTGTTTTCTTCAGGTGGATAATATATTTCTTACTTTATCTAGTTTAGTTCAACAACATAAATTACTTTTTTGAGTCACATTGTGGGAGGGAGGGTTGAGAATACAATGAAATGGTCAAATTTAACTTAACCCAACATGGATCTAGTAGTGACTTAAAAGATTCTGCGATGGGATTTAATCAAAGGGAGGCTCTAATCTGTCATCATTCCTTAATTGTCTTTTTTCCCATCTTGTTTCTATGCTCCAATGGTTGGAGACAATGAGGTATTAGTTCTCGAAACATCATCTGGGGAACAAAACGAAATCAAGGATGGATTTTTTAAGTCTTGGGATGCAAACTTGCAGAATAAATTTTAAGACCAACTAGAATTTATATAGGTGAGTCGGTGCAAAAAACTATTTTAAGATTAGAATTTATATAGGCGAGTCGTGTGCAAAAAAAAAATTTAAGATTAAAATCCAACATTTCCTTTTTTGCTTTCTAAATATTATAATTATATCTTAGTTCAACATTCATCTCTTAAGTTAGGAGATATTTAACTTAGAATCAACAACAATTATTTTTTCCCCTTTCTCTGTTTCTTGTTGTTGTAACTTGAAAAATAAAATTCAAAGAACTTAATCAAGTGAAAGAAACTGAACTGGTAGGACTTGGCTCCATTGCACTTAATGGTCATTAAATTATTTAAGGGTAACAGTGTCCTTGTGAATTTCTGTGCTTCAGTTTTTATTTGGGAATTGTAACAAATCTTTTCTAATGCATGTATTCGAATTTTCTAACCATATGCATTTTATTGTCATGGATTGCTATTAAGAGAGTATTGTGTATTTAGGTGGAGCTGAGAGATTGATTGTTGATGCAGCTGTTGAACTTGCTTCCCATGGACATGATGTCCATGTTTTTACATCGCACCATGACAAAAATCGGTGCTTTGAGGAGACCCTTGCTGGTGTGCTTCACTCTAGCTTTTATCTTCATGGGTTCATCATTGCAAATAATATAATGTCTTTCCACTGATAAATAGAGTTTTGTGCAGTCTAGAAAAAGGAAAAGAGGAAGAACTTATTCCAGTATCTCTAAACTTAAAATGTCCTCTAACATTATATTCTTAACCATATCATAGTCTCAGTTTAATGATGAACTTGTGTAGGATAAGGCTTTGAGAAAGGAATGATATATCTTCATATCAGCTTCTTTGCTAATGCAAAGAAGAGTCTTCCATGCTGAGAAATATTTACGTTCCCATTTTACTTTAATGACTGCTTCTTGTAATCTTCTTCAAATTTCTGTAATAGTATTTGCATTCCATACTAATATCTCCATTTCTAATTTTTCTCAGGAACCTTTCCAGTTACCGTGTATGGTGATTTCCTACCCCGCCATATCTTTTACCGCCTCCATGCAGTATGTGCATATCTCCGGTGTATATTTGTCACTCTCTGCATGCTGTTTATGTGGCCATCATTTGACGTCATACTAGCAGATCAGATCTCTGTTGTTGTTCCACTACTTAAACTGAAAAGGTCAACGAAGGTATGGATATTTTCGCATAGTTATTTGTTGAGGTTACTTTATTTATCATGGTTGACAAAAGAAGCTGCACGGTTATCCAGGTTGTATTTTATTGTCATTTTCCGGATCTGTTACTGGCTAAGCACACGACCATCTTGAGGAGGCTGTATAGAAAACCCATAGACCTTATTGAAGAATCGACAACTGGTTTGGTTTCTGACAATTCATTCTACTTCTTTCAATTCTTATGTTGTTCCAATATTACAGTCATCCATGTTTCTTCGATATTTACATTTCTCACCTTCCATAATCACAGGAATGGCAGATTTGATACTGGTCAATAGCAAATTTACTGCATCCACCTTTGCCAATACATTCAAACATCTTAATGCACAAGGAATTCGACCAGCTGTTCTTTATCCAGCAGTCAATGTAGATCAGTTTGATGAGCCCCATTCTTCTAAGTAACGGACATGTTTGTATATCTCTTGTTCCTTTGAGTTGATTTTATTTTACTGTGATCTGCAATTTTTTATTTTTTTATTTTTTTAATGTAATTCTCTGTTATATTCGTTTCAGTTCTTATATTTATAATCACCTCAGGTTGGGTTTTCTTTCTATCAACCGTTTTGAAAGAAAGAAAAACATTGGATTAGCTATTTCAGCCTTTGCTAAGCTTGGCACACTCGAAGGAGGCATTCTTCAGGATTACAATGCGGCTGATGTTTCCTTGATCATTGCTGGCAAGTCTCAACTTCTCCTTAGTATTATTGTATCTCGTGGGTGTAAAGTAGAAACCTATCATGTTGTTGAACGGTGCATGACGCACCATCCATCAATCATAATTTTTGGCATTAGTGTTGTTTCCTATCAAGTAAGAATGGGGTGTGAACCAAAGTCATGATATCAAAATGATGTTTTAATGTTCTATAGAAGTACTTTGCCATTAGAAGTGAGTAACTTACTTGCATTAGGGGGGAGGACTTAATTCAAGCTTGCTTAATGTATATGGAGAACTATGAACTAGTGTCTTTTTTTTGTTTTGTTTTGTTTAGGAGCCTATAGTTATGTGTTCAATTTGATTACTGTCATAGAATAGGATATGCTTGGAGGTTATACCAAATGGTTTAATACCTCAGATCTCTTTTAAACATGGCTTAAATGGTATCAGGCCTCAAATGTTGAAACTCAGGCTTTTAACATACTCATGCTTCATTCTCTATCTTGGCTCTGCTTCACAGTTCACAGTATGTGACTCAATAAGTTAAAGCTTGATGCAGTCCAACTTACACATCATATTACTCAATGATCCTGTTTTCTGGAGATTATTTGCACCGAAGGGGAGTACCTTTGTCATTTTACTACTTTATTTACCATTGTTTTCACATTTTATTGCAGGAGGCTTCGATAAACGACTAAGAGAGAATGTTGAGTACTTGGAGGAGCTCAGGAATTTAGCTGAAAGAGAAGGTGTATCCGATCAAGTTACCTTCATCACATCCTGCTCAACACTCGAAAGAAACGCTCTCCTTTCCCAATGTCTCGCTGTCCTCTACACACCGGAGGTGTGTGCATCTCCAGCTAAACGCACCTAAGGAGATTTTAACTGTTGTTTTTGTAATAATTGGCACCTATCTCTAACCAAGAGGTCATGACTGAGTTCGAGACCCCCACCTCGTTGACTAAAATAAATCATTAGCTATGATATTAGTTTGTTTAGTATACATACTAAAAAATAATATGAATTATTGCAGGATGAACACTTTGGCATTGTTCCTCTGGAAGCCATGGCAGCTTACAAGCCCGTTATTGCCTGCAACAGTGGGGGTCCAGTTGAGACTATAAAAAATGGCACGACGGGATTTCTTTGTTCGCCCAATCCGCAAGAGTTCTCCCTTGCAATGGCGAAACTCATTCAGGATCCTCAGATGGCAGCAAGAATGGGTAGGGAAGCCCGGCAGCACATCATTGAATCTTTCTCTACAAGGATATTCGGCCAGAATTTGAACCGATTTCTTGTCGATGTTGCTCGAACTAAGAGGGACTGAAAATGCAGTTCAATTTAGAATCAAGTCGATTCGCCACAAGGTACTGCAACACCCTTTGAACCCATACCAGTGGATCTTCTGTAAAGTGGTAAAATTAGAAACACATACAAATTACTGCTTTGTTTTATATACACTTATTGTGCACTGCTTGGTCCAGTAGAAGATGAATTAACATCATTTGGGTATGACTTTTTTAGTGTTCAGAACTGATTTATAAATCTGATTATAGTTTTCAAGAACTTGAGAATTTTGGTTGAGATTTTTAAATGTTTTATGTGGAACATTTTATATTGGCACTGGCAGGAAAATTTTATGGGAATTATCTGAGCAGTTTATGAGTAGATTTTATTTGCTTCATTCACCTTACATATGTTGTGTTTGGAATTAAGATTTAGGTCTCGATTTTATGGATATATCCATCGATATATTGATATTTTAATTCTTGGTAAGTATTTTATTTTTAAAGCAACGATATTAAATTTTCATTTAATGTAAGAGTATTGTCTCTGTTCATAAAAGGGAAAGAAAAGGTCAATCTTTCTTACCAATGCGTGATATGATGCCAATGAGTTTCCTTTTGAATAATTATTTAACAAATTTTAACACAATTATAGAGATTAAGAGAGGAAAAAATACCCTACATTGAAATTGTATTCTAATTATATAGACTTTAGATCACAAGTTTAACGGCAAACTTTTAGTTTTGAAACAAAAATTGTAGAAAAATAATTTTTTTTCTTTCTATTTTCTATTTCTAATTTTTTCTCGGTCCAAGAACTAGAAAAACAAAAACAAAATTTTTCTATCTAATCTTTTTTCTCTCTATTTTTTTTTCTAACTTAGGTTTAAAATGTCTCCCTCTAAAAATTTATTTTTCTCTCTTTAAAATTTTCCTCTTTATAAATTTTATCTTTTAGTGAGATATGTTAGAATAGAAACAAAAATTATAAAGATTAAAATTTGTAAGAAAGATCGAATTCATAATCTTTTAATCGATACCCTAATCAATTGAGGTATTAATATATTGTTTGACGACTTAGTATTTACTCCCTATATTTATTGTTCAATAAAAAATGTCATAAAATATTAATTACATATAGTTTATTGGAATAAAATTGAATTAATATTGTCAAAGTGAACATAGCTCAGCGGTAATTGACATATACCTCCAACCCCAACGCTCATGCGAGATTGAAAAACCTTTTTCGAAAACAAATTTTTTTTTTTTACTACTATCAAATTGATTAATATAATCATTTTAAAGTTGATTTTCCAAAAAGTGATTTTAAAGTGATGGATAAAAAATCACTTTATGACAATTTGACCCTTAAAAAGACTAAAATCTCTTTAAGAAAATGTGACAAAACACAAGTATTTTAAATAAAACTATTTCATAAAGAATGTTTCAAGAAAAATGGTATCCCAAACTTATCCTTTATAATACAAATAAATTAGGCAATTTTATTCAATTAATTTCTACTTCTTCCTTCCAAGGGACCTTTTGGTTTTTAAAGTTTAGTTTGCTACCACCGAGAAAAAGATACATGAAATTAAAATATTTTATAATAAAAATGCTTGAGAATTAAAAGATTGTTGTGTTTGGTATTATTGAAAATTGTCAAATTTTCATTGGAATAAATAAAAATTTTGTTTATTTTGTGGAATTAATACTAGAGCTATTATATAAATGTGAAACTTTACTAAACAATTAACTAAAATTAGTAAAATAGCTAAATTATTTAATTGAATAAATTTAACTTATTCTATTATTAGTTAGTTAGTTAATTAATAATTTTGACAAATAATCTTTTAGAGTAATTTAATAAACAAACAATTTCATTCTTTTAATATATTTTTTAAATAAAAATGAATTAAGTAAATTTATCAATCAACCACTCAATATATATTTCTTTTTTGATGGAATCAACCACTCAATATTTACTCACTTATTACAATGCAATAACTAACTATAATAATATTAATTAAAATACATCATTATCGAAAAAATATATTATATTATACTTTAGGTTTTAAATACCATTTTAGTCCCTATACTTTCCACTTTGGTTCATTTCGTTCTTATACTTTCAATTTTTGTTTGTTAATTTTAGTCTCTACACTTTTGAGATGTTTGTTTTGGTCCCTATACTTTTAAAAAGTGACCATTTTGGTCACATTCATTTTTATTTTTATCTCATTTATTTCTATCAAAATTTTAAGTGTGACAATTCATTCACTAAGTTTCTTNTAAAATTTTAATTACTTCTTTTATCAGCTATAAATTTAATTGAAAGATATTTTTTAAAAATTAAATTAATTAAATAAGATAAACAAACCTAGAAAAAAAGATATAAAAAGAGAATAAAGAAATTGAAAGATATTTTTAAAAAATTAAATTAATTAAATAAGATAAACAAACATAGAAAAAAAAAAGATATAAAAAGAGAATAAAGAAATAGAAAAAAGATAAGAGAGGAGAAATCCCTGGATTTGGAAATTCCCCAAAAAAGTGATAATAAGTGCATTTCCCATTCAAACCTACTCATTCCCATAAACCAAATGGGCCATAAAAGGTCATTTGAAAAGTTGGGAAAGAGAGAAAATCAAGTTGTAGGGCCGCCAAAATAAAAAGGAGTATTGACATTGCTATACCATTTATAACAAATATTTACAAAATATCTAAAATTTTCGTAGGATAGAATAGGTATCTAGATTCTCGTATTTGTTTGATAGTAATTCCTATAATATGGCTAACCCAACAAGTGGAAATCAAATGAGGAGGAAATAACAATGTCGAACACACGACCTCCCGCTCCGATAAAGATGAATAAACCATATTTAATTCATATACGGATATCTCAACAACTTTCGGTATTCTAATAAATTCATTAGTACAACATGTGAGGGTGATGGTGGAAGATTGAACTCACGACCTCTTGATTGAAGATATATATCAATTATTGTTGAACTATGCTCACTTTTGACTACATTATCAATTTTATATCTACTAGGTTTTTGATTTATTAAATATTTTTAAAAAACTCGTTAGATACAAAATTGAAAGGTCAGAATCAGGAGTACCAGAGTTATCACATCATCTTGCAACTATAAAACGCCATCATTAGTGGCCACTATATCCTCCACCCCACCACCATCACATCTTATTATTTAGTTGAAGAAAGGAAATTATGGAATCCATTAACAATGTAGTCAATGAGGGAACCTCCATTGCAACCAATATTCTTCCTGATAAGTTCAGAGCTTCTTTGCATTTGGAGGATCCCACTATTGAATGGAGGTATGGGAAGCCTCCCTCTTATGAAATTGTTGATCACCTCTTTGAAGAGGGAAGAACCAAGGTTAGTTAGGTCTATTTCTAAGGGCCAGGAAAAATTTCCTTTTTTTTTTCTCATTTTCAAATTTATTAAAAAACTTAAGTATTTTGTAATTAATTATGTTTTTTATTTTATTTTTTTTGGGTTAAAAAATACATTTGATCCTTTACTTTCACTAAAGTAACAATTTAGTCCCTGAGTTTAAAATTTGTAACAATTTAGTCTCTATAGTAAAAATTTTATTAAAATTAAGTGTCAAATTTTATCATATAACAATTTAATCTTTCTAATTTATAAACATATTTGATCCTTCTTTAGTTTATCGATCTATACATACAAGAAAACTTAACAAAAAAAAGTTCAGATAAGAACTAATATTCATTACCAACTTTAACATACAAGGACTAAATTGTTACATGTTAAAGTTCAAAGACTAAATTGTTACTAATTTGAAAGTACAAGGACTAAATCGTTACAAATTAAAGTTCATGGACTAAATTGTTAGTTTAGCAAAAGTACAGGGACTAAAATTGTTTTGTAACCTAATACTAATCATCTGTTAGTTTAATTTGTTTTGTGTTTTATGGTAGGTGTGGCCGAAAGGATCTCTGGAAGAAACAGTGCAAAATGCTGTGAAATCATGGCAAGTGGAGATTAACAACAAGACTAGATTACAGGATTTCAAGACCATAAACCCTCAGAAATTCACGCTTTATGTCAATGGTAATCTTAGTTTGTTTAATTAATTTGTTTCTTAAATATATGTTTTACTCTCCAATATTTCAAATTTACAGTACTTTATTACAGTTTAACATTTTTAAACGGTTAAAATACTAGTTAGGTTTCTGTACTTTGAGTTCTTGTTTATTTTAGTTCTTATACTTTTAAGATGTTTGTTTTGATGCTTGTATTTTCTACTTTGGTTCATTTTGGTCCCTGTATTTTGAAAATGTTCATTTTGGTCCCTGTACTTTTAAACAGTGACCATTTTGGTCCTTTCATTTTATTTTTTCTATCACAATTTCAACACCACATTATAATCAATATATTTCTTACAATGTAAACATTACTTTATACTAAATTGTTTCCATTAAGTGTAAAATTTGTGTTATCTTGTGAAGAGAGACTAAAATGATCACTTTTTAAAAGTATAGGGACCAAAATGAACATTTTCAAAGTACAGAGACTAAAATGAACCAAGAATAGAAGTACATGGACAAAAATAGTATTTTTTAACCTTTTCAAATTATATTTTAATCTTTCTCTTCGGTATGTATGCATAGGAAGAGAGGGGCTGTCTGGAGAAGAAACACCGAGGATTGGGCCCTTCAATGCATTGCTGAAGAGTTCTCTACCAAAAGAGTTTCAATATTTCAATACAGAGAAAGAGACATTTGAATCTTCTCATGAAGAATTTAAGGCTTGTTTTCCAAGAGGGTTTGCATGGGAAGTTACAGAAGTTTATTCAGCTCCTCCTTTGATTGCCTTCAAATTTAGGCATTGGGGTTTCTTTGAAGGACCTTACAAAGACCATTCCCCCACTGGTGAATTGATTCAATTCTTTGGTATGATGACTCTCAAGGTAAAGTCCAGATATATTATCCAACATCAATAATTTTTTTTAATGTTATTTGAATCATTATGTTGGATAATGTGCGACCATAGTTCCATCGATGGTCTTTTGATCGAGGTGGAGATTGTTGGGAATGCGATCAAAGTTATGAGGGTTATGTCCAAAGCGGACTAAATATCATTACATTGGAAATGTGTATGGTGGTCTCCTCACGACTTTGCTTTTGGTATATCACCCAAAAGGCCTTATTGTTTTATATATAGATGGTGTCCCTAACTTATATACTAAGATTTTCGCCTTCTATGACTAACGTGAGACTTTGATCGCATTTACAACAGACCAAAAATTGAAAATTGAATATGATTGTTTAACCAAAACAAGCCTATATATATATATATATATATATATATATTACTCCCTTGGGAGCTGATCTTTGTCAACTTATTAACTGTGAATCACTCGAGAAAATAACCATTATTTTTAGTTCAATTTTTTAAACTAGACATTAATAATCGAAAATAACTTTTAATTACACGAACATCACTTTTCAATAAAGTTGGAACCGAACATTAAAATGATTTCCTAGCTACTAAAAGAAAGCATTTTCCAAAAACTTTGTAGAATGCAAGAAACGAGTATTAATATTCATAATGTTCCATCTAAAACCAATTGGTAATGAGAGGATAATTTATATCTATTATACTTAACATGCCTCTCAAGATCATGACTCTTTTGGTTCATCAATCTCGTTTGAGTTTTTAGACTCTGATACCGTATACCATATTAATATTCATAGGGTTACATCTCAAAACCAATATAATTGGTGACGAGAGAAGTAGCTCATGTCTATTATAAACTTAGGTAAGGTTCTTTTATCAATGTGAGATCTTTAACAAAGAACAAAGGCTCGGTCTATCGAAATTATAATAATTTGTTGACGGATTATTATGTATAATATTTGGACAGGTAGATTCATGGATGGGGGTTGAAGAAGTTCATGTCTACTATGATCCAGGAGAGCTATTTGGAGCACTTTTAAAGGGCAAAAAAACCCCAAAAAATGACAATCATTCAGCTGCTTCGGATGCCTCTGCCTGCCCATTCTCCAAGCTCAAAAACTAGGTTTTGAAAAAATAAAGTTGGTCTGAAATATATATTATGTAACTCACTTCTATCTATTCAATAATGTCGTCTCTACAGATACATACAAATAAATAAATAAATAAATAAATAAATAAATATATATATATATGCCTAGATAAAAACGGGGTTTTCTTACATATCCACAACAAAGAACCACTGGCTAAGACATCAGAGCACCAAGGGAAAATACTTAGCTCCTTCAAATTTTGTTATCACCCCTGACAATTAGGAGGGAAACGTAAAAACAAATTAAAAAAAGAAAAGAAAAATGAATGAGTTGTCAATTTTTCAATAGTGAGAGGACAAGATTTGATTCTGAGTGTTGGGGAACGGTCAAATATTATCCACAGTGAAGATACTCAACTTTTTGTATTTTTAAATTTTAATGATAATTAAGAGCCTATTTAGTATAATGTTTATTGTTTTTAGATTCACTAACTACATATTTGTTTTTTAGAGCTGTTTTCACATTGGGTGATTATACAAATAGATGAAATTCTAGAAACATTTTTTAATTTTTTCTTTTTAGATTTGGATTTGGAATGAATGCACAACTACATTAGAAAAGATAAAATTTCAATAACATAATATTTCAGGTTATAAATTCGTTTTATTTTTGTTAAAATTAAACAATATAAATTATATAAATTATATAATATTGTAAAATAATAATTTTGCAAAATTTATAACATATATGATTAATAAATTAATTAATATTATTCTAGATTAGATTAAATATTTAGTTGGTACCTACCTCCAGTTTACTAATATATTACTAAACATGCTAAACAATTTTTTAAATTGAGATTTAATTTACAAATATGCTACCAAACAGACATCTGAAAATACTGAAAACATATAATATAACTCTGTTTTTCACTAAATTCGTTGCTTTTAGATTTTCGTTTTTAGATCACCAATCAAATGCATCCTAAGTTTATGTGGATGAGGTTAATAATTTTTTTTGGTTTATTTAACACTTACGTGTCACACTACTTGTATTATTTAAAGATTACGTGATGACCCAATATTGAGTAGGTTCAGGCATTTGGCAGTGTAAACTTAGGGGATTTGGCATTGGCAACACTTTGGTTTTGACCTCCCAATTACGACCACTCCACTAGCACTTATATGAAACAATTTGATTTGACTCAAAAGAAAAAGTTTGAATGGGAGATTAAATTTTAGTCAAATACCAAGAGATAAAAAGAAAATTTATTCTCGACTAAACTCGAAACACTCCATGAATTTTGTGACCAATCAATACTTGAATGTTAATGAACCGGGCTTACAAATGATCGGGTGGCACAAATACTAATTACTAGCTGTTGTGAGAAATCAACGCTCAATTTTCTATTCATCAATAAGTTGCATAAATAAGAACATTGTCTAGGTTTAAATGGCTTTGAAGGCAGTATCAAGAAATGAGAATACTGACCATAGCAAACTTCGAAAAATATATATTTATATAGAGTAACAAAAATTCAAATAATATCTCCAAATGAAAATTGGTTTTAGAATATAGGGTATATAATAAAATATCCTGAGAATACACAAAATAGAATGAAAAGTAGAAGCCGAGCCATATAAGGTAAGGCAAGAAGTGGGGGCAAGGCATGGGCAGCCAAGGGCACGTGAGCAACATGTTTAGAAGTTAGTAGGCAACTGTGGCACACCCCGGGTGCAAACGGCTAGAATGGTCGGGAAAATTTCGAGTACTACAAAAATATATGGATACTCATTTCATTCATTGTTTGTCACGTTAGCATCTTATTAAAAATGATGTATGGTTCACTAACATTAAAAATTACTTATAAAAACAAATCATGGTGTGAAGAAAGCGAGTACCATACTTTCGTAGTACATGAATTGTAACATCTAAGGCCCAAAATTTGGACTAGGATTCGGAATCCAAATTTAAAATGCTTTGTCTTCACTCACACAAAAAAATCCCTTAGGAAGTCACCCAATTCAAGATTGCTCCAAGTCAAGCACGCTAAACTTTGGAGTTCTAAGACCACCAGAAAGGTGCACATTGTTACTATAGGTAGTGACTATCAATTCTTTTTAAGTATATTTTTATGATTTCAGAATCCCTCTTAATCGGATGTGGTATTGATTCATTTATGTATCCTCCTCCCTATTTGGACATCACATAAATTTTTCTCAATGGACACACATGTGGATGCCTCCTAAGGTTTAGGAGGCAGTGTGGCACAGGCGACTGACAATGAGTGCACACACGACAACAACATTTTTAATTATTAGTTCATATTTTATTATTAAAGTGTGAATTAATACAGTTTGTTTTCGTGGATCATTTTTTTTTTATAAAATGCATCATACTCATCGATACTAATTGATGAGGACTCTAAACCTCTGCTTTCGAAGGAGACCTTCTAGAGACGACGACTATTCCGCATTGTGATGATATTGCAACATTATGTCTAGTACATCCTAAACTTTAAAAAAGATTTAATAGGTTTCTAAACTTTCAATTCTGTTCGGAAATTAGATGCTCCAGAACAATTTTCCCTTCCACAGATATCCAGATAAACAAAGCCAATCACAAAACACAATAAGAGATTAAAGGAAAAACAATAAACGACATAGGAATTTATACTTGGGTTATGTCCAGTCTTCCACTCAGATGCGGGTTTCAAATTGGATACAAAACACTTAAATATCTCCCTAGATATTCACCTTCTAGAGATCCCAACAAAAACCCTTAGCTTCTAAGTATTTAACACAATTACGTACCGGAATGAAAACACTCACAGAATAATCAAGAATAAATTATCAAAAAATAATATCTCGATTTGATCATTTTTGTGCTGTCAATATCCGGGCCGCTGCCACTAATTTGCTGCCAAAATTATACCAAAATTGGCGGCTGGAGTAATCCCTCGGCTGCTCTACAATTTTCGGCCAAAAGAAAACCTAAGCAAAACGTTTTCCTTTATGTAAGGAAATGCTGCAGTGTTAACGCTACGAACTCCACAGCGTCTATAGACGCGCACAACCATTTTTTTTCTTTAGATTTTCGGTTACAGCCATGCTCGCGGCCAAATTCCTGCAGCTCCAATTTTCACCCGTTTTCATTCCTTCGATGTTCCGACGCAATCCGGGCTCGACCCGACTTTGGTTCCACCAATTCCAACAATAAATTATGTATCTAATATGTTTATGCAAAGAATTGCAACGAACCAAGCTCGAACCCGGTCCCCGGCTTGATCTGAACTCAAGAGTGAACCTGCACAGGAGGGCAAATTCTCCGACGCTCAACTCAGTTCTGATCGGACTCAATATTAAGTTCGAGGTGAGATTCCATACCTGTGCGTAAAATGAGGCCCTCTATTTACCCTCTATTTATAGTTGGTGGGTCCGACAGCATTTACGACCGACGGTTATCCCTGTCTTTCATTAAATCGAACCTGTCGGGTTTGAGCAGATCGAACCCGTCCAGGTCGAACCGGGGCTTTTTTACACTTAGCCTTGTAGATGGGCAGACCAATCTCCTCGGCAGGTTCGAGGTGGACAGATACTTTATTCCTTGAACACCAACGAGTGTCCTCCACATGTCCGAGATATTTTTACCCCAAACATAATAGGTTCTTAAGTTTGCAATTTCGTGTCTAATATATCTCTAATTTATTAGATAATTTTTAAAATTAAAAAATTTATTGGACACAAAAGTGAAATTTTATTAAACAAACAACACAATTTGGAAATAAAAGGTCGAAGGTTAAACTTAAAAGACAGAAGTACTGAGGGTGAAAATTACAAACTCATTCCCATAAACTTTTGTCTTTTAAGTCAGAAAGCTCATTTACAACTTTGTCTTTGAGTTGAAGGCCTCTTTACATTTTAATATACCATTTACAACAAATATTTACAAAAATATATGACTTTAATTTCCAGAATAATTACAATATAAATTGCCAACTAAAGGCAAGCTAACATAAATAGATAGAAAAAGACGGATGTGCCCTTGACACCCCACGACAACAATGAAATAAAAATAAGTGATCGAGGGGAATTTTAAGGATAAAAGAATAAAATCTAAACAAACAATATTTCATTAAATAA